TTTATTTATCAAAAAAAAAAATTCAAACTATGTCTATTTTTACATATTTCTAAAAGTTAAACAAAAATTGACTTAGAGTTGAAGGATATTCACCCATATTATTTTTAAAGGACCGTGTACTCCATAAATATGTAAAATTATTGAAATATTTACACGCGATGCTATAAGTCTTTTGTGGGTTATTTTCTACAATTGAATTGAGCTTATAGTTTGTTATTCGTATATATGATTTCTGAAAAATATATACTATGATTATTTCTGACTAGATTGAAAGCTTACATTTGTATTATGGTATAAATTAGTTATAAATTCTGTTTTATTGTATTCAGTGGCATTGTTTTCAAAATCAGGCAATTTATCACATGGGTGTATGTGAAATTTCTTCATTTATTAAATTTCAGATTATGTATTTCAAGCCAGAGCAAGACTTACAAACATTTTTCCATACGTATAGCTTCAGGTAAACAAGCAATTTTAGTCCTGAAAATAGCTTCTGCTTCTGTCAACACGTTGTTTATTTTTTCTCTGAGATAAAAAGTTCAGTTTTCTGATATTTGTACCAAGATAAAGTCAGTAAACAAGATTAATATAGTGTGGAAAAGGTTGTCAGCAGCCCTGGCAAAGGAAATAAGTTGCCTGTACATAGAACATACTGTAAACTGAATAAAAGTGTCAGGTCCACCATGAGATAATGTGATCATGAACCTCTAACAAAGCATGACATAGGCACAGTCGGCTTTTCTCATAGCCACAGTGTAGAAAATGGATTACTGTATTCCAGGGATCCCCACTGGAATAGCATGAAAACCTCATTTTGAGATGAATGCAGGATGTAGTCCTGGAGTTGAGCCACATGTTTACCTGTGGTGCTCAAACCGTAGGGTTATTAATGCCATCATCTGTGCTCATTTGCAACATTTGCATGTAGTGGAATTCCAGAGCATCCTTGTTACCCCCAATGAGAAAAGAAGAAATACATTTTTGAAAAATGTTAGTTTCTTTTTAGAAGCATTTTAATGCTTTCTACCTTTTTTTTAAAAAAAAAAAAAACATTCTATTCAGTGGCACGTCTATAATTACAGGGTTTTTTTTTTTTAATTACAAAAGTACAAATTCAAGTCTTCGCTATAAGTTTATGTCTTGTCAACGGCAGTGATAGATTCATTTGTGCATGGTGTTGCCATGTTTCCTGTGAGATCTCTGTAAAATAGGAAAGTTGTGAAATTCTAAACATTTGAGAGTAGGGGGCATTATCAAGAGTATATTCAAACTTTTTCTTATCAGATTTCTAATTTAATTTAGAAATAAAGGGAAAAAATATTGTTCTGTTAGGTTAAATTGTATTTTGTTCTTTGTAAATACATAGTGAAT